TGGGTACGGTTCCTTTTGTGGGTGTTGGCCTGGCTCACTGGTTCTGTACGAGGAGCTTGAGAAAATGCTAACGGACAGGGCACTGTGCAGGCGTTGAGGATGTCAGGCCTCTGGATGGTGTCTCTTTTACATACTTCCTGTGTTTTGGGGCATATTACTTAACTTCCCAATCCCACGGAGAGCGAGCGGTACTACCTGTTTTGCTAGGGTTAAAGTATAAGTTGCTAACACTTCCGAAATGTTTTCGGAAGGTGGAATAAAATGGTTTGTAACAACACAAGGTATTTTGCAGATTCGAATACTGTAGGCATGGAAGTCAGAAAGAATTGCCAAATGCCATGCAGCGAGTCTGTTCTGGAGGTAAATACAGATGCCAGAAGCTCTGCCTTCTTGTTCTGAGCGTTAGTTGCTAAAGATTATTTCAGCTGAGCTTTGCTGAGCATGTCTGCGTAATCGGTACAGGACCCCTCATCTGTGAGCAGAGTCTCTTGGCCCTGCGAGGTGCCGAGCCCACCAGGTAACAGCTCCTCGCTGCTCTGGGGGTAGAGCTTCTGGCAGGAAAAATGAGCTGGCTTGGATCATCAGCTCACAGAGGGGTCCAGTTTGACTCCCAACTCACCAGAAAAAGACTATCTTTTGATCCATTTTATGTATTAATAGCATAGTGGATCATAGTGGAATTAATGAGCTGAGAAGTTTCACAAGTACTAGAGCTCATGGTGGGTGGATGGCCGGAAAGGAGAAATAGGGAAGGAATCTGTTCCTGTTGATACTGGTGAGAGGTGAGATTGGTCCCTTCATCTTAAGCAGCTCCTGACTTACTTGCTGAAGGAAGGCAAAACTCAGCAGTATACATGTATTTTACACCTAACCAGCATGATGATTAAATGCTTTGAGTAATGCAAGTCCGGTCTTAACTTTCCTGAGTAAGGAGAAACTCTCGACGCGTTGAGAAACCTAAATACCTAAAGAGTGGGGTTAAACGAATGGTTTCTTTCAGTAGCAAAATGAGGTTAAATGCTTCTTGCTGACCTTTATCACCCAGATTGTGCTGGTGCGACTGTGCATGGAACTGAGTTACTCAGTTATTTCTGCCATGAAAAAAAGAAATCTCTGTGGAATTATTTCAATAACTGGTTTATATTGTGGCCCTAGAAACAGTAACAGCAGTACAGCTGAGTTGGGTAAATAAACTGCAGTGGGAGAGACAGGAGAGGGGAAAGCAGTGGCAGGAGGCAAGAATTTTTTTTAAAAATCAATTTTCATACCAAGGAGAGTGTTTGTGAAACTACCATAACTCACTTGAACTTCAGAAATGTGTTAGTCTGTGTCAGTCACTAGATTTGACTCCAAATGCTAAACTACATAGTGTAGCTTCATCCTGGATATCTTGCATCCTATGCGGGAGAGATAGAAGCAGTCTGGTGTCTGGAACACCTGCCAACCAGAGAGTTTGGTACGTTGCAAGTATGGGTGTGTATATTCAAGGTTAGGAGGTATGGGGGAGTATTCTTGTATTATTTAAAGGCAAGCTTCTTATACATTGGAAATACTGAAACATATATGTCTAAGGCAGAGCTGGTGCTAGAATTTTTATTTTCTGATGTGGTTTTGTTCTTTAGTTAGCTAGTTCTTCCTCAAGTCGTAAGTAATTAAATTTTGTTTAAGTACAACTATTACTTCATCTAAACCTGTACTTTTAATAAAGTTCAAGATCAAAAAATTGCTGATATAGTTAAAATGGAAACTATCCTTATTAGTAAAACAAGCCAACCTAAAGTGTAGTGCAAATTCAAAGTGACATAAGTCAGAGAAATACTGAAGTGCTTCTAACTGACTCATGGTTCTAATGTAAGTGCATGTTCTAGTGTTTTGTTTCATTCCTTCAAGACAAGGTAAATCTAAGCTTTAAAAGTAACCTTGCTGTGGAAGCCTGCCAAGGAGCATAACCTCACTTATTATACCTGGAAAGGTTTTAGTTTCCTATAATCTTTCAGGAAATGCAGTCCTGATTTCCAGAAGGAAAAACTTCAGTTGTATACTCAGTTTCTACTTTTAAAGGGGGCAGGGGCAGACAACAGGAATCTCTGACAGACCTCGAAGTAGTCTTACATAAACTTCTAAATTGGAGTCCTCTGGTAAAGGAGGTGTTCTGTATCAAGAATGTAATTGAGTGCTCTGTGTTGGTTATGACTACATCAGTGTCACCAATTCAGGGGTTGGGGTTTTGAAAAGCAAATGTTAGAGCCATATTGTTCAACTCATGGCCAGTTTTTAATCAAATAATGAATTTAGTGCATTAGAAGTTGCCTCAGTAGCCTAACTACTGATAGTAAAAATCTTCTAATAAGTCATTACATAAGAGTATATTAACTGCTAAAGCTTTTTTCTTTCTGTATTACGGTTCAAGATCAGTAAGAGTAGTTGCCTGTGCACTCATGTAGTACATTTCAGAAATAGGTACTTTTTGGAGGCATGAGGATTTGAAAAGGGTAGGGGCAAGTTAATTGAACAGGAATTTTGCTCACTGTTCAGTTTCTGGTGTCGGGAGGCCTAGGATGAGTGCTGGCGTCCGGAGGCACGTAGGTTGGCTTCTTCCCCAGGATGAATTCTCGGGACAAGAGTTTGTTTGGATGGAAGGTTTTCAGAGTATTACAGGGTTGTTGATATAGTAAGGAGTGTGTGACAGCTGGGAGGAAAGGCTCTGTTCTTGTTGCTAGAGATTATTTACACCAATATTAAATAATTCAAATGGGATTTTCTGTACTCAGAGCTTTGTGCTCTGAACTGCTCTTTGAAAGATGAAAATGACTTTGAAGGTTGTGAAGTGAGAGCCTGAGCTGTTGGATGGATGGTCAATCGTTTTCTAGGCAACAATGCTGGAATTTATTCTGTGTGAATATTAGTTATATATTTAGAAACCTTAATCTTATAAAACAGAAGAAGAAGAAGAAGATTCATAGAATGAAAAGGTGCCTCTAACCTTATACTAAATAGTGGGTTCTCAAAGTAACATAGATTCACAGAGAAAAACTGAGATTATTTTTGTTGCTATAACATTTAGGCAACCTGTCATGCTGGGAATTAGAATAACTTTCCTTTTAAGTTTCTATTTCTCTGAAGAGTTTACAATTAAACGTGCTACTTAGTTGGAAAGTTGAAACGATATAAGCATTTTTTTTTTCCTTCATTGCTCTTGTAGTTTTGGGAATAGATTTGATGTTGAATCTCAATTTTGTTTCATTGCGTTTGTGTTCAGTGCTTGAGCTAACTTTATAGTCTGTGAATGACATCCTGTTTAATTGTGAGGACAAGTTAAACTTTAACTACAAGATGCTTCATATCCAGCTAATATTCTGCAGGAGTATATCTCAAAAGATGAGTGAAATAATTATTTTGTTTTGCACAGTGTAGGAAAGGCCTTAGCTGAATACAATGTCTGACTTAGGGTCACAGCTTTAAGAAATACATGGTCTCGCAGGGGAGAGTCTAGAGAAGGATAATAAGGGTGATCTGAAGTCTAGAAGATCAGAGCTTTGAAGAAAGAGTGGAAAAAATTGAGGTTATTAAAAAAAAAAAAAGAAATGGAAGTTGTGAAATCTGATACAAAGAAGAATGCAAATAACTTGTTCTCCAGGCTCATGGAGATTACTGCCAGAAGTAGGGAGTTGAAGTGGTAGCAGAGGAGATAGTTTCATGTTACTATTAGACTTTTTCTTTATGGCTAGGTATAGTGAAGCATGAAAATAGACTTTCTTACCTTATTTATAAAATACTCATTAATAGATTCTGTCACTTCCATAGGCAAACATATGTCAGGAGTGATGGGGAAAAGTTGATCCAGGTGTAAAGACAATGACTTTGATGAAAAGCCTAAGGAAAAAAGACAAGAGGTTATGATTTACTTGTGGCAAGGTAGATCGAACGTTAGAACATGACTTTGAAATACTTGAGTTTAATGGGGATATTAAAGAGGTTTCTGCTCATGAGGTTTTTCTCAAACAGCTCTGTCCTCTGGTAGCTTGTTTGGTTATGCAAAACTTTGTACAGTTGTAGCTGCTTCTGAAAAGTTTTGATGTCTCAGGAGGCTTTTTTCTTGTCTCTGTGGATATCCACAGACTGGTTGGATACAAAGTGTTTGGTACTGAGTTTTTTGTTAATTTATGTTGTTACTTAAGCCACTAATGCTATTTCCATTTATACTTGTTAAACTCAAAGAAGTCTTGTTTTTAAAGCTGTTCTATTAATATCCTTCTTGACAGCTGGTTTTAGCCAGGAAAGGCAATTCCTTTGTTGCATGTAGTTAAAAATACTGTAGACCAAATGAGATTTAGTTTTTATGGAGATATCTTTTGATGGTAGCTATTTTTTAAAACAAACTGAAAAAACCCCTTATTTCCTTAAAGCTCCGATATTCCACATTATTATTTTGTTACAAATCTATAGTTCAGTCTAATTATTGTATCTATAGAAAATTTGACTGCATGAAGGATTTTGGAGGGAATTTCAATTAGTAGGAAATAAAATTATTTTTGTCCTTCCAAAGGAAACAAAAGAGGGTTTCAAATGATCATGAAATCAATAATTCTCTTCCAGTCTAGCCTTACATAGAAGCTACTTCAGGGTTAACAATTTTTTATACACTCTTTTTGGCCAGGTGTAAGTTTTATGTAAGTTTTATTTTCAGTTTGAACAAGTCACTTGCGAAGGGCGGTGTAATGTACAATATAGTAGAAATGCTCTGTCATAACTGTAGTCCCCAACGGTTAATGCTGCTCCCTATCACGGCAGTTACACTGAAGTCAATCAAATGGTGCCCTGCCATCCAGAGGGGAGGTTTTGCTGTTTGTTATACCCTGTATTGGGTTGCTCAGCCAGATCTACTCCCTTAGTACCATGTAGGTCCTTTCCTAAGATGATTCAACTCAACGCTGGAGAAAATTGGCATCATTTTTGCTGGGTTAGTTCTCTGCAAGCTCAGTAAACTGAATCTCCTCAACATGGCGCCTGATGAACTCCAAGACTCTTGTGAGGTAGGAGACAGAAGGAATGTAGTTAGGGAGAGTAGTAGTATGGTGGGGTTCCAGTTCCTTCCCCCACTTTTTTCCTTTTAAGATGGTCTTTGTCCCATGAAATTGCACTGGCCTTCTTTTTTTTTTTTTTTTTAATATTCAAATGAGAAGTCTTGTTCAGCCAAGGCTTCCTGAGCTGGACTTGCCAGGTTTAGATCCTGACACATTAGATCTTTATGGTCTTGAGCTTCCCATGCTGGGTTGTAACAATCTCACTTCATCTCTGTGAATTGCTTCTGACCATACCTTTCACAGAAATATGATTCTGTGCCATAGTTTTGCCAGTATGCCAGGGACATGAAGGTCCTCTATGAGCTTCTTGTATAGTAAGTATACTTTTCCAACAGCTTTGATCAGGTGAGAGTTCTGGGTACGGTATTTAGTTTTTTGAAGTGTGAGATTTTTTTTGTCATTTTCAACTGTTCACACATCTGTGTGTGTGTGAACACAGCTACTTTCTCATCACTAGTGCAGGATTCAGAAGTAAGTATGCAATATACGTGTTTCCTTGCTTCAGCTTTTTTGTTCCAGTTGCTCTTGGGCTTTTTGGGCGTACAATGGAATCCTCTTAATCTTCCCTCCTGCGCACAGCTTCTTTCCAAAATGATGAAATATGTATTTATGCAGCTGATTTCCTATTCTGTGACCACTGCTAAAGTTAAACAAGGCTGCTTGATGCAGAATTACATGCATTTTCTTTTTTCCTGTTTAAACTCCTTGCTGCAAGTGTTTGTCTTTTTGCTCCACCTTTTTGAGCATTTGTGTGTTTTGAAGGAGCTGCAACAGTGCCCTTCTTTATTCTGTTTCTGATGACATTTAACGAATGTGGACCTTAGCAAAAAAGGGTGAAACAGGCCAAGATCTAATTTTAAACCATTTCCATTGTCTGAAGGTGCTGTCAGTTCAGGCAGGAGTTTTTGGGGAACAGTGCTGCCAGCTATCATCCCACCGTAACACACCCAACTCACCTGAACATTAAAGATCAGAAAATAGAACCTCTGCTCTGTTGAAAATGGAGTTTGTCATGCAGTGCTCGGTATCGGATGAATTCTTCGCACTATCAGTATTGAATTCGGAGGTCATAGGAGTGTGTTTGGGCACTGAAGGAAGCTTTTATTTTTATAAGGTTCTGATCAGGTAAAATATTTTCTGTGGGTTCTCCCAGTACACCTGCACAAAATCTAGTGTGAAAAGGCAATTAAATTTCTACATGAAGAGTAGAAGTAGTAAACGTTCTTTAAAATTTTTTATAAGTAAGGTTGTAAATGAACAAAATGTACTTACTGTTTAAAAATGTGTTGTGTAACTAATTGGCTAGGAATTTTTTTTTGGCCACAAAAATGGGAATACCAGCTCTAATATCTTCATTTGTTGGGTAGTGAGGTCCCTTAAACAGCATAGTAATTACTAAAGCTGCTGCTAAGTGCACTGATAAGTAGTAAATACTTTTCAAATGCAATTACATTGTGTTTGGTCAACATTTTTTTGAGGGTAGGCATTTGTGAAGTTTGAGTAGTGTGTCTAGTTTTTTTATCTCTCTAGTACTAGTTATTGACTAATGGTGTTTGAAAAGCACTATAAAAGCAACATGAAATAAAATATATCATTATGACTATAAGAAGTTGGTAGTATCTAGGTGTTTGGAACTGGATGGTTGTATATTGGTGCCTCAGTCTTTGAACTGCTTTTGTAAATTTATTTATTAAATCTTAATAGGTCAAACATTCTCTCTAATTAGTTGTAAGTAATGTAGATTTAAATGTGAGTCTTTAGCATCATCTGAGGTAGCTTTCAGAACGGATTTCTTTAATATCCGTATAATTTTGCTAGAATACAATTTGTAAGTGCTAATAAAGTCTCTTGTGACATTTTTAAGCTTATGTACATCATTGAAAATTGATGTAACTTTTTCCAGTCTCTGGATTCAGTATTTATAGGGTATAAGTCTTGAAGCAGATTTTATGTACTAAATAGTTCTCCAATTTGATTAGCTGAAGTTTGAGTCAAATAAAAATATCTTTTTCAACAGGTTTGATTTTGGAGGGGGGTGTGTGTCAGTTTTCTAAACTAGATGGTAGTTTTCAGCATCTTCCATGGTAGCTGTTGTATCTTGGTTTGGATTTATTTTTTTTTTTAAACTCACCTAAGTCTACAATGAGTGGCAAGGAGCCAGTTCTGCCTTTTAAATTATTTCCGTTTTTATATTGGTACTAGGGTTACTAAGGCAGCATGGTCTGCTGAGTAGAATGTAGACTGCCATTTGGGAGAATGCGGTTTCTGTGGCAGTTTCTATTTGTTACTGTTTTCTGTGATTGGGAGCAAATTACTTGTGTTTTACAAATAAAAAAACCAAGTACATTTGCTCTGTTTCAGATTTTGAGACCTATTTGTGATAAAAATGGGGTACCTTAGTTACTTTATTGGATCAGAGGTATTTCTGAACAAACAGAATATGTTTGTACTTGACTAACAATTCCAGCTGTCTCTTATATTTTCTAACCAGCTGGTACAAAACACATGCACAGTGTAGTAATAGTTTAGTGGTGGAATATTGCAAAGTTTATAACAAATTATTTTATGGATTGATAACATGAACATTTAAATAGATACTGATTATCTTTTCTGGATAGTCTAATTAATTGTGTGCTCTGGCAAAGAGAGAGCAGAATAAGTTCTGTAGTTCAGCTGAGACTGAGTTTATTTGTTTTGTCACTTTAATTAATGTGACCCAAGCTGTACAAGAGCTCTGCTCAACTAGCATTTGCTTCTTAGAGGCAATTATTGTAATTAGCTGGTTGGCTGCTTGCTTTCCATCACAAATATGACTTGTCTTTAGTTTAAGATGTGCGGAGAAATAAAATCTGGTGCATGTATGATAGTCTGTTTTTAAACTTCATTGTTATATGGATTTAAAGCTTGTTGAGAGTCTCTGGTAGTTACATCTCTAAAGCAAAATTACATTCTTAAATAACTTAGGAAATCTGGATAGGGTTTTTTTTCTTTTCTTTTTTTTTTTTAAACCCATGACAGTCTAGGGAGAAGTTGTTAAATTCATAAATTTAAATACAGTGAATTGTACCAGAGCTTGATCTGTGCGTGATCCTTATGACTACTGAATTAGTACCAAAGTGAATGAAAGGGACTAGTAGTAATGCAACACAAAAGCCTCAAGGAATGTGGAATTAAAGATTTAGTTAGATCAAAGAAAGCCATGTAACTGGTGGTTAATGATTTAAATTAAGGATACAGACACCTCTTACTTCTCACACTCTGCTGTTCTACTGTGGTAGAAAACATTTGTTAACTTTCCTTTTTATAGTGCTTGGAGGCAAATTCTACTTAGCAGCAAGCAGCAAAGATGGCAGGTGATGGAAAAAGTGGGGGAATGAAAGAGAACTGAAACTTAAACAGGAAGGCTGCTGCTTCATGGTAGCCAGAATCCATCCAACTGTGGGCTGTAGAGAGGAAAGGTGACTTTTTCCACCGGCTCAGGTGGTCATTGGGTCCCTTGCCAAGCTGTTTCAGCACACTAGGCTGGCAGAAAACTAACCTTGACAAAGAGAACAATTTTCTGCTTGTGTCGTGTACTGAAATGGTTCAGCCAAAGGTTTTCTCTGGACAAAGAGTAAGGAAGGGAGCAGCGGTAAATGGCCAGAGACAATATGGTGGTCGCACCCTCCTCCTAGGTTGGTGTAAGCTGCAAAGCAGCCACTGCCCAAGGCTCTTGGTGACTTTGTTCTTATAGAAAAACTTCTGGGTTATGTTACAAGGCTAGACTTCACTGAGTTTTATCCATTACAATTTATCATTGTATTTAAAAAGGCTTATAAGGAAGGAATGTTTGAAGTCTGAATTTCTTTCGTTAAAGAGGAGGCAACTTAAGAGGCGAAGGCCTTACAGACTGAAAGGTTGTTTATTCTGCTTTACAAGTAGAGCTGAATGATGAGCAATTAATTTTGTGTTTAGAATTAAACAAAGGAAAAACCAGCGATGACTTTCAGTTGCAGCTGATGGTTTGCAAATAAATGAGAGATGCAGGAATATTAAGTAAAAACTAAGTGTTAGTAATGCTAGGATTATGTGTGATAGAAATCCTCCCGTAAAGAAAGCAAGTCTTTATAGAATGTGTTTGCCTTAGAATCACAGAGTTTGTCTTCCACTTATTTTTTCAGTAGAGTTTCTGCTGCTAAGTCCTTAAGGATGATAGTCTGATACTTGAGCGTTAACTTGATCAGATGTTTCCTACGTTTTTGGAGTAGGGAGGGAGTTGTTGGGTTTTGGTGGGGTTTTTTTGCTTAACAGGAACAGTGTCACAACAGACACTGCATTACTAGTTGTGGGGGTTAAGAATTGACCTTTCCTTTCTAAAAAATTTTACCTGTTAATTGGAGAATGGTTTTAATCTTGAAGCCTTTTTAATATTTTACTAACTGCTGTGCTTACAGCAGATGCCTGCTGATCACATTACTGTATTAGCTGACCCAGTTATGATCCTAGTCATCAGACAGGATGGTATAAAAAATGTTGTACCTTTTCTTGAGGATTTTCCTTCTTGAACATACGGTTATACATCTTCACCCAGGCCATTCTTCTTCAATCTAGAAAGATATGTTCATAGACTTTCGTGGAAAAAGAGATACCAGATCCTTTTTCTTTTGGCTACAGTAACTTCTGTAGATACTGTTGTCTGTAACTTATTTACAATTCTGTTGTAAATTTTACCAGACTCATTCTGAACTGTCTAGCTAGCTGACAATGAAAATACACTGTCAAAGTTTGTGTATCAGACATCATAAAGGAGCTGTGATAAAAATGATTCACCAACATTAATAAAAAGTTGAGGAAGATAAACTAGGAAAGGCAGTTTCAATGTGGATGTTCATATTGTTTGTGTAAACTCTTATGGGAAACCCATTGCACGCTGATTTCAATTCAGTAAAGTTTTTCAACTGTTATTAAAT